TTATCTGAGGTAACACCCAGAGTATCTAATGCACGCAGTTGAGTTTCAATTTTATCGTAGAGAAATCCTAACTTGCACTTTCCGTTCATGATATTCAGGATCAATTGCAACAGCTGGCGAACGTACACTTCCACGAGGAGGTCGTCTCTTCCAAATCTAGATTTTAAACTCTCGATTGCCTTTGGATAATTTTCTCCCGATGGAGGATAGCTGTCAACAATCAATCTCGCCCGTGATTTTGGAATGGTCGCCTGAATTAGGTATTGGAATTTATCCTCGTTATCTAATTCACTATCTCCATGAATCCGTTTAAATTGGCTCCAAAAAGGTAACCAGTCATGAATATCGCCACCAAACTTCTTCATTTCAATCTTGGGTAGTTTCAATTTGCGTTGGGATGGTCCTGCTTGACTCTGTCTATCTATGTCGATCATATTTGTTGAACTGAGTCGATCATCGATTCTGAATTTCAAGTTATTGAATTGGCAAACGAATTGATCAGCTTTTTCTACTTCATTATCAATGTCGTCACTTACGGAATCAGAATCTAATAACATATCAACCAGTTTCTTATCAAGTTCTACCATAGTTCCAATCTTTTGCTCGAGAATTTTCAAATTACTTTGAACTTCAAACATGTTGAAGTCCGTAGACTGTAGTGCTCTTGTAGTAGCATCATGTATTCTTGTAAATGATGTTCGATGAACATCTAACGCCTTTATCAATTTCTGCATGTCCATTTAACTTCTCTGGTGTTCTGCTCTCTGTCCTGTCACGGTCGCCAAATGTAGCGTTTACTAAACCTACCTGGTATAGATAAACGTCTGAGTTGAGAACAGAGAATGAACGCACTCCAGGAAAGTATAAATGTTGTATTTTAAATAAAATGTTACAGAAACATGAAAGGTAATCAAAAAATATTATGACACTGACTACTATCACATACAATGTGTTGTTATTTCTTGAAAACAAAAACAAGAAAAACAGTTTCCTTGATATTCACAAATATTCGAATACACACAATTTCTAACACCACCTATTTCCCACGCCCCTGATCATCTCGGGCCCTCTTTGAGATGGCTATAACTCACAAGGAGGCCATTTCTGGGCTCATGTTTACATGAACTTTTTTCACTAGAATGTAATTTCGGGACACCCTGTATACATACGAGTAGAGTACAACTTGAACAGTCGCAGTGCATTGACTGATGAACTGATAGAATTTTTTCTTTATTTACTTTGTCCTATCTGCATATATGAATAGGAGAGATAATAGATTAATAATGGTTATTTGAATGATTATTTGTATTTGAATTGTTTTGATATCGGAAGATTACAATCTGATCCCATTCAAAAATTCTTTCTAGAAGGCTGACTTGGCAGATTTCTGATATGTGATATTGATTTCATGCAACAAACACAATAGATATAGATAAGAGTATAATAGATAAATACGTACTTATACTTTTTCTGAAGTGACACTCGATAATTATTTAGTTGATTTAATTTTATAACGATTAAATTGTAATCATTATAAGTGTTTTTATTTAAACAACATAATTTTTTTTATTTGTTCGTTCCATACCACCAAAAGATATGATAAAAAAAAAGATCTGCATGTGATATTTTATTTTTCAATTTATTCTCCTGGATAGATTCCAAGTACGTTAATTGATGAAAAACTCTTTCCACATATCACAAGCTCTCTACTGTGCACATATCATGATAAATGAGTGCAACGCAACAGAAATATTAACAAATATCACATGTACGGACCACTAATCGATGTTGCAGTGTGACGTATCTGCAATATAGAATGTACACTTGTATATGTATGCCCTATTAGTGATTTTCTATGTGTTGCCGCATTTCATGTCTCAACGACGTCACAGTGATGTTCCTTGAGTCGGACATTTTCTCATTGCCACGTTGTATCGGTAACATGTTTGTGACTTCAAATGCGATATCTGTCACAAAGTGATGTCGAGTATACATCATTTATACATCTCATGGTTGGCTGGGACTTGTGATTCCTATATACCTATATACGAGTCCATGGGCGGTAAAGTAGTCCGTGAGCTCTAAATAAGTGCCAAGGAGGACGATCTATAGCCTTCTAAACAATCTAACCTAACTCGGCCTAAATTATCTTTCTTCCTAAAAAACATATTTTTCGGAAAATCGATTGAGCGAACAATGTAACCTTACTCGGCCTACATAAACTTTCTTCCTAGAAAGTATATTTTTCGGAAAATCGATTGAGCGAACAAAAGAAACCACTCGTTTAAAACAATATAACGTAACTCGGCCTATATTAACTTGCTTTCTAGAAAATATATTTTCCTGAAAATCATTTGAGCGAACAAAAGAGACTACTTTTTCAACAATCTAACCTAATTTGGCCTATAAATGAACCTTTGTCCTAGAAAGTATATTTTTTCGGAAAATTACTCGATAAAACAAGGGAAACAACTTTTTGTAAGTACGTTATTATTTAACTTCGCCTGGCCTAAAAGAACCTCTTTCCTAGAAAGTATATTTCTCGGAAAGAAAATTATTCTTTGCATAGATTGAACACGAGCCGCGAATAAGTAGCAATCTCTTACTTGAAAAATTATTCCTATGAAGAGATAATAGACTGTTCCAGATATTGCGTATTGGCGGATTTGAAGGTCATCAGATGACGTTACGATGACACTTTTAGCAATAGGAAAAACATGTCTGACTTTCAATCTAATTAGTCAAGAGTTAGAAATTCGTTCCCCACTGCTAAACGTCATCGCAACGTAAAATTGTGACCTTGGAAATTGCCAATTGTCAATTACGTCATGTACGCGCGAGAATTCAGAGAGCCACCCATGCAAATGGTGCAGCTAGACGCTCGTTTTGGGTGCTGGTTTTGTAAGGTTATTCTCCTTCCTGATCACTGCCATGTCTACAAATAGGTGAGAAGAATGGATAGGAAACAGAATGGTGCAGAGCCATTGACATTTGCGGATATACTGACGCGGATATAAGGCCACGGATATACTGTCGCACGGATATAATACCGCGGATTGATCAAATGACATGTTACCCTTTATCACCGTGTATAAAAGATATATATTATGTATCTTTCATACAGGGTGTTTCAGTTTGTATCTGCCTAACTGCACAATGACCAGGGCATAACGTCGTTGCTCATTGAGACGAAAAAAAGTCCTATAAATATAAAGGTCCGAAAACGCAATTAATATGATTTCTATGTATACATCAGGTTGATGAAGTTTCAAAAAATAACTGTTTCATCTTTATGTCTTCAAATTACAAATTCCAATTTTTTTGAAACTTGGAAGAGTTGTCCAGTGTCGTCACGACGGGAGAGGTTGCAGTTTATACTTCCTTGAAAAAAGGGTACGCCACTGCTTTATTTTTGTGTTCTATTATTCTTTCCAAGTTCTACAATGAAAAAATGAACTTTTTTCTACGGCTCATGTTGCATTTTCGTGGGACATAACTGTCATTTCCATGATGCTCGTTAAACAGTGGCGTAACTACTATACCGCGGCCCGTTCGTCGGAGGGGGCCCTGGGTCCACAAACCAGAGCAAGGACTCAGCCAAATTGATTGAATATTTTTTGTGATTATGAATATGCCACAGAAATAATTTTTCCATTTCTGCGAATAGTGCAGGCATGTTTTTTTGAGTGTAGGTCCAGGGTGATGTGTGAAATCAACGATACAAGCCAATTATTTCTAATGGAAAACTTGATTGATCAAGTAATAGCAGTATGATGATTGAAACAGGAATGGATGTTGACTCTGCAATTATTATGAAAGAAAAACTATTATTCCAGATTTTTTGGGATTTTCTCTCCTCATTTCTATAAAATAAAAATATGAATATTATTTCAATATACGTGTAGTAAGGACAAATCAGATGATTTGTCCCAAAATGTCACTGCGTTCAAAGAATTTTCCTATCAGAGAGCATGAAAGAAAAATTCACTAGTTAATTTTCAGTGACAATTTGTATTGAAAAAAGTTTGAAGAAGAGAAATAAAGTTATATAGAAAAAATATCAAATTTTTACTTAGCAAATGACGAGACTTCTGCTACTACTGCATTCGAAACTATGTATAGGTACAGATGGTGTGAATTGAATATACCTAAAAAGTATTACCTATATCTGAAATCCACGAGGAGCCCATACCTGACTTGAATGCGAGAACTCCTGAAGATGGAACGGAGTCAGATGATTCATTACTAGATGTTATAATTAAAGAATCATTTCCTTGTAATGAAGGCAATTTCAGTGGCCGAGAATTGAGCAACACGATAAAAATGTTTATTGTTCGTAATAGCCCGTCTCAACCAGATATAGATTTTCCAAAAGAGGAGTTTCTCTAATTTTTATTATTCACAGAAAAGTCATGCTGGGCAAATTATTCCAAGAAAATTTGTATATCGCTACTTCAAAGTTGGGAACCAACTCCCCAGAAGTCGAAACTTGTGCGGGGTTAGGAAGAGCGGGACCTACAGCTTATAGTGGAAATGGTTGTGTTATTCATCCAAAGGAAATAAAGCGTATTGTGAAGCTTGTTGGTTATTCAATATAACTAAAGGTTCATGGAAAGAAGGGACTTATGACTGAAAAGGTTGGTCTCGAGGGTGCCCTAAATGATTTTGGCGGGGGGGAGGCAAAATATGAAGTTACGCCACTGTCGTTAAACAAAAATGTACTAAATATTTCCATCTCTTGGATTTCAAACTTACCTAAATCGCTAATTGTTAAAAAAAACATGTTTTCATGACGATACGATATAAATTCCTTTCATAAAAATTGTTCAAACTGTCGTCTCAAAACTTCGATGCTGCTATAGAGTCCAATAATAATTTTTACCCTGATGGGAAAAGAGAAAGGCAAAGAGCACTAGAGCAGAACACGGCAGAACAATGGCAATATCATGAGAAGATGAGATCGATCAATATGATGGTGTAAATAGTTTTATTTTTCTTACCAAGCATAGAAAGGTTCGTCGATTTCAGCGTAGGGGATGTGAAGAACACCCTTCACCACGTAAGTTTCACTCCAAACAGGTGGACTATTTGACTCGATGGCTGAAACAAATCCCAAATTTCAGTTTACCTTTCACCGAGCTTGGCCACTGGGTCAGTATGGTTTATTTACCTGTCACAGAAGCTGCAACGAAACAAGACAAAAAGACCAATAATTTGATTGACTCCATTTTTACGAACTCTGATGCTCTGTCGATCCAATTCGTAAAACTGAACCTTTATTCCTTGGATGTGTACCACTTATATTGTGATTATAAGCGATAAAACGATAAGAATGTTGGGTCAGCAGATGCTGATTTACTTGAATCTATACTTTATTCGTTATTTATAAATTTTACACTATACACCAAGCAACATCATAACCCCTGTTGAACTGTATACATAGGCGGAGTTGTGATCAAAAATTGCTAAGTAGGTAGATGATTAAAATGACGGAATGATGCTACAGTGAACACCTTTGAAACATTATACCTACATCAGCAGACCATATACACATTCCTAATTGCACAAAAATAAAAATATCATTATCGAATGTCGATTATTGGCATAGAAGTGATATTGGTATATAGGTATTATATTTTTAATTGTTACCTACACCTATATACCTACCTGCATTCTGGGCCTTATATTGTATCAGGCTGATTGGGATGCTTATACACAGGGTGTTAAAGATTTCTTTTTCTTTCAAGATTCAAGAAGGAACAAGAAAGATTGTACTTATCTTTAAATGTTCAAACAACAAAAATCAACAGTGGAGCACAATAATGATTTCTACCATAAAAATATCAATCAGGTTTTATACCTATATATACCGCGGTAGGCAGTAGCCCTTCTCTGGAGTGCCTTCCAAAAGATTAGGTACGATTATAAAAGGTTAACCTTCTTACGCCAATTATTTTATCTCAGTATTACGAATAAAACCTGTCTAGATGAGTATCAATAAATCGGCTAGGGGTTTCAGAGAGCTGTCAAAAAATCTATGTATACAGGGTGGGCCACCAGTAACGCCTCGGTCTCTAGAAGGCTAACCACTTATCTTCTTGGAATTCTTCCTCTCTAGGAAGTTGCATATCAACATAGGCTACCATTTGAAATTATTTCGAAACATACAGGGTGTCCCCAAAAACCATAAAACACTGAAGTTAAACTTTTTTCTATCGATCACCCTAAATATTATTTTATTTTGAGATTCTCCCTGATGAGCTGATTTCAACGACCCATCATACTTGGGGTCTAGCAGTTATAATCACTGAAATATAGGGTGTGAAAAATCGAGATTTTCCAAGTTCAAGAATTTTTTGTGTCGAAACTATTCATAATTGGTCAAAACGGCTTACATGTCCCTATCTCAACTTTTGATTAACTATCTACTGATATTTAATTGGGACATATATACCGGGTGATCAAGATTCTGAATTCTGCACCACCCTGTATTTGTTTCAATTAAATGTCAGTAGATAGTTGATCAAAAGTTGAGATAGGGACATGTGAGCCGTTTTGACCAATTATGAATGGTTTAGACACAAAAAATTCTTGAACTTGGAAAATCTCGATTTCTCACATCCTATATCTCAGTAATTATAACTGCTAGACCCCAAGTATGATGGATTGTTGAAATCAGCTCACCAGGGAGAATCTCAAAATGAAATAATATATAGGGTGTTCGATTGAAAAAAGTTCAACTTCAGTGTTTTATGGTTTTTGGGGACACCCTGTATGTTTCGAAATAATTTCAAATGGTAGCCTATGTTGACATGAAACTACCTAGAGAGGTAGAATTCCAAGAAGATAAGTGGTTAGCCTTATTCTAGAGACCGAGGCGTTACTGGTGGCCCACCCTGTATATATATATATATATACCTAATCTATAGAAATACATATACCCTTTGGGAATGAATAAGCTCCCAAACTTACGAGATGAACATTTCTTCTTATAGTATGAATAACTATCAATATGATCAGTTTTTCAGAGACAAACCTAATTTTGGACAGTGCCGTGCGCGTCTTAATTGAAAAAAATGGGGTCGATTTTTCATGGAATAATATGAGGCATTTTTTATGGGAAATAAACTAGCCTCATAATATTGTTCTTCATGGTTTTGAATTTTCATTTGATTTCTATGAAGGGTTTCAAAAATACAGGCACATCTAAACCGCATTTTTGCGAACGTATGTAAATATTATTAAGTATATTTTGTTTGTTGAATTATTGTTGCTTACATGATATTGTTCAATCTTCCACAGCATACTTTCTTGAAAATGTTCCGTTACGAGGGGAACACAAAAAGTATTTTTTTTATAAAATGTCAATTATACCAGCAGTTTCTAAATTGAAAGTATGATTGTGATATGTCATTGTAAAGGTAATTCTATACCGAATTGTAATTTTCAAAAAAAAATACTTCCTATTCGAAATATAAAAATTGGATGCGCTTCCGGTCAAACCGGAAGTGACATATTTGGATTGATACTCTCTAAATTGTACATTCATAACATCAAATCGAAGTACCGAATTTGAAACATCCATACAAAATAACAACAGAGATACAGGGGGGTAAATTGGTTCCGGGTCACCCGGTATATATGAGAACATTTTTTGACCCTCCATATAACGAAGATACAGGGTATTATGTGAAATTGCTGTATAACTTTGATGGTCGATAATACAGACATTATTCGTCGTAATCTGCTGAAATTTGACAGCGACCTATCTCTACTGAAACTATTCAAGATAACATATTATGAAAAAAAAATCCAGGTCCGTACTTGGGAAAATTTTAAAGGTATAGTATGCCATGGACAGTTGACGGCATTTGAACAAAAGTCGATGTGACACTTCTGTCATCATGAATTAATTGATTTGTATATTGTTTACCTAACTGCATTTGAAAGTTTTGATAAGAAGTACGTTCGGAATATGAAGAAGCATATGATATCATTGAAATTCAAAAAGGATATTATTGTTATTTGTTTTATATAATAGTGATATAGATACTGATCACAAAGATGTTATATATATCCACGCCAGAGGATATGCATGCTGAAGCCAATTTATTTTACCTCCCACGGGAGTTAATATTTGTTTCCTCCCGTGGGAGTAAATTGATAACTTTGTTTCTTCAAATGAGAGAGCAAACGCCAGTTTTCGATTCAGTTTGTAGATAATAGTAATTTATTATGGAAAGTGACATTTTATTATAACCTGATAGCAACAGAGATGAAAGTTTAAACTTTTTTCCTTAAATACTCTGAGGTGTATCGGCCTATGGGATTCAAATCCTGATATAACATTTTTTTTCTTAGTTTTACATGCACGGAGTCTTTATATTGAAGAAAATACTGTGGAGGCAATTTGGCAATTACTGTTGAGGCCGATAGTGATTCGTTATTTCAATGATGTTTTCGTCCATGTGGAACATGTGCGTAGTGCTCATTGGGAATTTTTTTTTCAAATCCGAATCATATTCGATTTTCGAATGAGGGCTAAAGTTCACCAAGAGGCGCCACTGAAACATAAGGTTAGGGTTGGTAGAACTGATAAACATACTTCTTATTTCATTGTCATTTGGCATCTTTCTACGATATCTTCTTCTCCGTCAATCGGCAAAATATTGAGATTTCTGAGTTTGCCACTGAACAATGATGGAAATTCCATCATTATGGAAATAATAAGTGAGAGAGAAAATGTTAGCCCTCAATTTGGACGCTAGACGCAAGTGATTAAGGACTATAGATGTTAAAGACCGAACCAGAGCATTTTTTGCTGAGAGTGGTACTGGGTAAGTATACAAAAGGTTGAGCTAATAAAGAAAAGATAAAAGTAGAAGAAGTATAATTGACATTTTGATGTCAAATATCAAATTCTGAAATTTGCCGATTTCATTCTGAGAAAACTGTTTATCATTATCATCCAAATTTGGTCTTTGGTGGTTCGTTTTGGATTACTTTCATCATATAAAATGAGTTTGGCAGATATATGTAATATCTCAGATTATGATTCGAACAGAGGTACAAAAAATGATTTCCATCAAATGTGCACAAATTTTACTAGCAACATGAGTCTTGGAGTACCCCCATTTGCAAATGTAAGTCATTACAACTCCTTGAAGTCGTTTTTCTATTCTAAACTTTCAATATGAGTGAAATACTTGTAAATATTCCTTTTTGAATAATGAAAATGAAATAATCATTATTTTTTCAGGCAGTAGCTAACATAGGGAACATGGCCAAGGATGATAGTGGACGGTCTATCAAAATCAACTTTGATCATGGTACCACAACATTGGGATTCATGTACAAAGGAGGAGTTGTTCTAGCTGTAGATTCAAGAGCAACTGGAGGCCAGTTCATTGGGTCTCAAACCATGAAAAAAATTGTTGAAATCAATGACTTTTTGTTAGGTATGTATTTTGGGAGATTTTGAAAAAGTAGCTATTGAAAGCAAAATCCTTAGGAACCTTGGCTGGAGGTGCTGCTGATTGTGTGTACTGGGATCGTGTCTTAGCTAAGCAATGCAGAATGTATGAATTGAGAAATAGAGAAAGGATTTCTGTTGCTGCTGCATCAAAACTAATGGCTAACATGGTATACAACTATAAAGGAATGGGACTGTCAATGGGAATGATGTTGGCTGGTTGGGATAAGAGAGTAAGTTATTTTCCTTATCATAAGCTACTATTTTTCCAAAGTACCTATGTAAAAGTAAGTTGCTAACCAAATGTGATTTTATTTATGGTAGGGCCCACAACTTTACTATGTAGACTCAGATGGTACAAGAACTCCAGGTAAAGTATTCAGTGTGGGTTCTGGTTCCATTTATGCAATGGGTGTACTTGATTCTGGATACAAATGGGATTTGACTGATGATGAAGCATATGATCTTGGTCGCAGATCAATCTATCATGCTACTCACAGGGATGCCTACTCAGGAGGTATTGTAAGGGTTTATCACATGAAGGAGACTGGTTGGGTGCACATTGATAATAATGATTGTAATGATCTTCATTATAAATACAAGGCAGAGAAGGAGGATTTGGAGAATACTATTATTTAAATTTATCATTCATTCTGTAATTAAGGCAATTGATTAAACTTTTGATAATAATAATGCATTTATTATCAAACTACATGAATATGTGACTTGCTTTTACCTGAGACCACATTTTATTTAACTTTCTGTCAAAAGAGTTAGAACTAATGTTTATAGAATTATTCCTAGTACACAATTTTCCAAATTGAAGGCTTGCTACAATTGCTTTTATTTTTACAGAAAGCATTAAATGTTGTTTCAACAGGAAATCCCAATATTTCTCTTTCTTCTTGAATGCGAAATGAAAAAGTACTTTCATGAGTTCCAATGAAAAATCTGGCATGAGAGCATATAATTTGATCTATTATTGCTATACCACCATCCCCATATTTTTTTATCACAGCAACAGGTGGATTGTATCTGATTATTTTATAGTTAGATAGTAAGAGAGACAGTTCCTCAAATTCTGAAAAGAATAAAATAATGAAGATATTGAGTTACTACACCAAAGAAGCTGTCTAACCACTCTGAGATCCATCAGATGCTAGGAATACTGTATCCAGCTTAGTTTTTTCCAACTCCTTAAGTAGTTGTTGAGATATATCTTTTATAGAAGGAGATTCATTTGGGCGATTTCTGATGAAGTCCCTCCTCCTCAGGTGTATTCCTACATAAGGACCACCCAGGGCATTTCTTCTAGGCTGGAATTAGGATATTTCATTAACTGAAACAAAATGTATAATTTCTTGAGACATTACTTGCTCATCTGTCCAATTTTCAGGCAAAGATGTGCCATCACTGTCATCATGAGAATTTAAATGAGTTTGACGAAAATTCCCAGCAATTTTTTTCAGATCTTTGCTGAATCTCATACTTCTTCTAGCTTGCCAATAAATGTTATTGCCAAAGAAATCATGGAGAGCTACTTCAGCATGGTCTATTAAAATTGTCCTGGAATGTGAAAAACCAATAAGCAGAAACTGATGTTGTTATTTGGAAAGTGTACAGTTTTGAGACTGTCATAACTGTTGAATAATGTTCCTTCATTTGGAAAAATTATATGGATATATAATTCATAATATATAATAATATGTCAGTTTATTGAAGCATACTTGGCTGTATTGTTGAGAAACAGTTCAGTCAACTTAGTAGCAGGACCATGGTATGATAAGCACTGGGCATGTTTAGCAGTAATATTATCATAGAAGAAGAAAGTCAGATCAGGTTTATTCAAGCATTTCTCAATTTTCATTCTATCCTCAAAGTTTCCAGTTTCAAACATGTTTTCAAAATGCTGAAGAGTGTAAACTTCATCTATTTTTAATTTGGAGTATTTTCTTGGATATTCTGAAAGGAGTTCTGAATGAATTATCAATCCAGAAATATATACTGAGAAGTTACAGACTATTGAAAAATTCATGCATTTCTATAACTGGTGCAAACATCTGTAAACTTCTTAAATCAAAATACAGTCCCCATGGTATGTATTCGGGTTCCCCACTATTATCCCAGTGTACTAAATATGACCATGGTGGTAGAACCAGTTTGAACTTATTCAGGAAGATATTTGCTGACTGCTGCATATTGTGTGCAAGAACTGCAAAACGCATGTAGACATCTCTACGCAAGTTGAATCCTTCCGGTCGATTTACATCATAAAGTAAAAACCTGTGAAAGAGTGAATGCATCTAGTAAATAGAACAAACGCCTGTAAATGTGAAATCCACCTATCTGGTTCGTCTCCGCATTGTTCAGAATTTTTTTGGCAAAAATTTTCTGCATTACTGCATATAAAAACTATTTGAAAAACGGTGGCAAATTTGAACCACATTAATATTCATTACTTTCACTTTGAACATAAAAATTTCGATTTTTAATTTAAAATGTCAGGTTAGAATCTGTAGATTACTCATCTTCTCTTTTATTCGCGATTGAAAATAACACGTCGCCCCACCTGACGGCAACAACTTGAACACTTCTAAGCGGTTTGTTTTCATGGTTTTCATGATAATTATCACCAATAAGCACAAACGAAAAACAAATGTGAACCAATGAAAACGAAGTAAACATGCCGCTTTGACAGTTTTGAGAACTCCGATAGATGGCGAAGCTACTGTACACTAATAGAGTGGGGTGCGTTTTTCATTCCAACATTTTATCATGCGCATGAATCGAAGAAACCATCAAACTGTTGCAGAATTCCGCTGGAATGTTGATGGACATCCATCAAACTGTTGTAATAAAATGCGCACTTTTAAATCGCATTTCGAGAATCAAGCAGTTTGGAGGAGATTGACATGACAGGTGACACATTGTAGTGTTGTTTTTTGTTTTGATTTGATAGAAAACAATTAATATTGAGGATTTTTGAGATTCTTGAGAGATTTTAGAAGAAAGAGTCAGTGTTAATCAATAAAGTCGAATTAGCCTTTTCTGATTCTCAAGATACATGATGACTGACACACAACAAAATCCGTGTTTCCATCAATGTGTTGTATAAACCATTGTTCAATCCTTCCAGCATAAATTCCAACAAACACGCCCGTGCAAATGTATACAAACTCAGCTGCTCAGACCAATGACGATCATATTATATCATCAATGTCAGCATGTCAGATAAGTCCTCCGTTTGATTGCATGAATCATAGATCTAAATATCATGAATCCAATCTTCTTGCCTTCTTTTAGGAACTTCACGAGTTTTTCTAATAGCTCCTATTGCAGAAGGAATTGAAATGAGAGATATCAGAATGTAGGTACCTTTCGAAAAATCAGATTCCTTCTTCTCTCGTTGCATTATTTGTGCTTTGTATACATTTGTATACAACAGCACAATGGGATGGCATGCTTGAATTAATGAATAGCTGACGAAAAACGAATCTTTTTGGGAGTAAAAATTCAGAAGACATTTTTATCATGAGTTTCACAACTTTATGACTCCTTCAAGTAAGACAGGTTTCATAATATGTTCATTCCCAGATAAAAATAATTCTCTCGATCTCAGAGAAGTTTCTCCAATCACCACAATCATGCTCCAAATATTCGTTGATGTTGATACATTATCTAGATTCTCAACTCTAGTATCATGATTTTGAAATTATTTGGAGCCCCAATATATAAATATAAACTTCTTCCATGCAAGGTCATGAAGTTTGTCGTTTTATTTGTAAACGTCATTATGTTCCCACCACCGCTACCAGAATGGAACAAATAAAACGCAACTAGTCTAAACTGACAATCATCTGTCAAACTTCAAGGTTATAAATTGAATATGAAATAAAAAATGAAAATTGGTGGTCTGTTTTTTTTATCTTGTTGATCGAAAATACACTGTTTTACAATATTTCATCAGAATTCAGAATATTCTATAAGTGATTGGATTTGCAATGGTAAGTCAATATTTCACAAGTTATTCATCATGGCTGATAATATTTTTGTAGCCAGCAACTCCCCCTCAAATATCACCTGTGGAAGAGCAGGAAAAATATCTTCACGATGCCCTGGGTATCGTTAAAGCTCAAGCTTTCCATATGAAACGCGCTTTGGACAAGAATAAGCTTATGGAAGCTTTGAAAAATGGAAGTGCAATGTTGGCTGAACTCAGGACATCTCTTTTATCACCTAAAAGTTATTATGAACTCTGTAAGCCCTAATTGTATAAAAATCTGAACAGATCAAGAATATAAAATGTTCTATCAAATATTTTTTCAGATATGGCCATATCTGATGAGTTAAGACATCTGGAACTGTATCTAGTAGATGAATTTCAGAAAGGCAGGAAAGTTCCAGACTTATATGAATTAGTACAATATGCTGGTAATATTGTGCCAAGATTATATCTGCTCATAACTGTTGGATTAGTTTACATAAAAACAAACTCTGCACTGAGAAGAGATCTGTTAAAAGATTTAGTAGAGATGTGTAGAGGTAAGTCCCAAAACAAAGATAGTTGCTATCAATTATTGAAGTTCTAACTACACAATCAATTAATCCAATCTAGGATATAAAGTGTTTGAGAAGAGCTGAGGTAATTTTTACAGGCGAACTAGGGATATTATAAGATATACTACATTTTTCCTAGAAAAATGTCCTTAGCTCATGTAAATGACAGATATATTGATAACTACACCACACACATACAAAAATGTCTATAGCAATAAGACAATATCCTTGACTTTTTTAAATCAGTTTATGTGTGCAGGTTCATTCATTCATTCAATTTTGGAATAGACCATTTATATCTATTATTTTCAGCTTTTGAATTCTGAGTGGCATGAAATTTAATGGAAAAAATTGAGGATTTTTAGAAAAATCAAAATCTCATCCAATAGTTCTTAGGTTTTTTAATGTTATTATTATTAAATGTTATTCTATTTTGAGGTGTTCAACACCCTTTGAGAGGTTTATTCCTGCGTAATTACCTTCTACAATGCACCAGAAATGTCCTTCCTGATGCACCAGACTCAGATGAAGGAGACAACCCTGAAGGTACTGTAAAAGACTCCATTGACTTTGTTCTCATGAATTTTGCTGAAATGAATAAACTGTGGGTGAGGATGCAACATCAAGGCCATTCAAGGGATAGACAGAGTAGAGAGAGAGAAAGGGAAGAACTGAGGATTTTGGTGGGTACCAATTTGGTGAGACTGAGCCAGCTTGAATCAGTCACTTTAGGGACATATCAGAAGTCTGTTTTGCCTGGTATTCTAGAACAGGTAAGAAAATACAGGATTCAATGATATTTCAGAACAAGATTAAATAAATAATAGGCTGTACACAAGATACTATCTAGTTTTTGAATCATGATGCTGAGAAGCAATATCAAATAGTAAGTAAAATATCACACATATTTTGGTGAAAATTTAATGAATTCTCAATGAAAGACAATAAATTGATGTAGTTTTGCTGAGTAATAGTGTGAGAATCATGTCAAGTGTCAAATGGATTAGTGAAATGAGGGTAATACAATATGAAAACAAATTTAATCCATGCATCCAATTCTTTCCTTCAAGGTGGTTAGTTGTAGAGATGCAATAGCTCAAGAATATCTGATGGAATGTATAATTCAAGTATTCCCAGATGAGTTTCATATTCAAACTCTCACTCCATTTTTGAAATCCTGTGCTGAACTTGAACCAGATGTTAATGTGAAAAATATTGTCATTTGTTTGATGGAAAGGCTGGCTGCTTTCAGTAGAAGATCAGATGCTAGTGGTGGGGAAGGTACAACATCAAATCATTATCAATAGTTCATTTATTTGATCAAACTGTTCTTGTTTTTTAGGGTCTGATGTTCTCCAAGAAGTTGAACTCTTTGAAGTTTTCTCCACTCAAGTGTCATCCATAATTGCAAATCGCCAATATTTACCACCAGAAGATATGGTAGCTCTACAAGTGGCTCTGGTCAATCTAGCTTTGAAGTGTTATCCTGACAGGATTGATTATATTGATAAAGTGATGCTGTCCACTGTGGAGGCAAGTATAACTTTATTATGGACTTGGGTATATCTCTAGAACTAATTATTATTTTGGAAAATACTTCTTGAATCATCAATTATAGTATATATAATTATAGTATATACAATCAGTGTAACATTTTCAAAATAGTGCAGGACATTTCAGAGAAAATGTAGTTGAATTGATTCAATTGGGAGAGGGTAGGACTAGATTTTTCTGCCATATACTCATTGATGTGACAAGAATTATTGTGCCATCTGTCATATAAAAATGTTTTGACAATATCTTTATAGTTTCTTGAAACACACAGAAAAAATCTTTATAAACATAGGTCCAGAAGAGATGCATAGTTTTCAAGATACAAGCTCACAAACTTTCTTAACAAATCTCTTTTCTGTGAATCTAGTGGCTGAATTAGTCCTCATTGATACAAATAACTGCAAAATTTTAACAACAAAAATGTGCTAAAAAAGTGACACTCTGTATCTGGAAAACTATTTATTCCAGGACCTTTCTCAGAACAACTCAAAAATTATCCATTCAAGCATGGTCTACTAACAGAATATCCTATTTAATAAAATACATTCATGTTGTGTTTTTTTAAGTATTGCCTTACTGTGAATGCCACAACTATTTGTCGCCAATATGCAAGTAACCAAAAACCCAAACAATGATAAGAAAACCGATAAGTCAGTGTGTTTATTTGAACAATTATTAATAATAAAATTTCCACAATATACTGTATACAACAGATAATTTTGAATATTGGAAAAATTATTATCATTTTTATGTCATGAAGGGATAGTATTTCAATTCAAAAACTATACCAAATTTGTCATTCAATAGAATTATGAATAATCTATTGTGATTCACTCTCCAACTGTTATATTGGAAATGTTGTTGAAAAAAATAAAAACAATATTTCAGAGATGCATCTATTACATGAAAACTAGACAGTCTGCCTTTATGACCTCATATGGAACACTGCTAGAAGTGGCTGAATTGTCAAATCGACGGAAGTTTGATGATGTGCTATTCATTTTACACTTATATTTATGTATCAACAGAATTAAAAGGACCTCAATTACCGGCGGCAAAGTTTGCGTCCTGATTATTAATTTTTGCAACAGCTCTCACGTTTTTTTTATGTAAATAATGAGTCAATGCATTGTTCAAAATTGTTGAATTTCAGAGTTCATTTCAAACGTATCGTCATGGCCGCCATTTGGCGATACGTCGAATAAATGGTGACGTCAGTTTTTATGCTGTTCCGTTATTGGTCAGAAAATCTTCCATTTCCACTCATGAATAAAAAAAATAGAGTTCTGTCGTTGGATAAAACATAGAAGGAACCCATGATGTTTTAGTTCATTCTTGAGTTTTTCGAGCAACCAGCTTGTCCGAATATTTCTAATTCTCCATAACAAAATGTCATGTGAATGTTGGAGACTTGGCAACATTGTGCTGAATGCTGAGAACTGAGAAGGCTCGCCCACAAGTCGTGCGCCGTGGTTGTCACGTTCACCAATTCAAATGTCCTCTAGTGTGAATTAATATAATTATTATTCACACAAATTCATTATAAGCAATTAGCCACAAATCATAAGGGAACATTCTGAGACAATTGAATTTTAATTGCTGATTAGGAATATCATCAATACTCAATTGAGAATTTATGAATTATCAAATAACTAATATTTCTGAAGTTACCAAACGTATTTCAACACATGGCAACTGTGCTATGGTCTGCCCCTACTTACAAAATCATGTCGTCAGTTTTTACTGGCGGAAATTTTCTGGCCATTTTAAAATTACCGTGGCATTATTGATGATATTAACACCTAAAAATCGCCACAAAAATTATTGAAAAATATGAAATTGAAAGGTAATTGAGTGATGATTCTATTTAAGAAATAAAAAAATTAGTCCACTCGCCTATTCCCTGAGGTTATTGATTTCAATAAAGTGTTGTTCATTTTTGAAAAGGAATAAATGTATCTATTACCTTCCCGCTATATCTGAATTAGGTACCGTTGATAATAGGAGTTTTGTTATATGCACATATGTTATTTCATTTTTACTTGTGAGTTATGGCCCTCTTTATTGATAGCATAACTATGACGATATAAGCTTATAATATCTCGGTCAGAAGTAAAATACTTGCTCGACCGGGCGTAAAGTAGCACTTTCACGAGGTAACTCGTAGTAAGCATTCCTATATAATTAAGGACATTTATTTATTTATGTATGTATGTATGATATGATAGAACCCAAATTAAGTTATCTGTGATGAAATTAACTGACAGCAAATAAATGAAAGTCTACTCCTATTCACGATAGAAAATAAGCGTATGCCACCTATCGGAGTTCTTGAAAGCTGTCAAAGCGGCATCTTTACTTTGTTTTCATTAGTTCACATTTGTTTATTATTTGTGCTAATCGCTCATATCTTGAAAATAATACACAACAAAAACTACACTCATCCGACTGACGCGCTGTACAGGGAAAGCAAAGTGCTTGATCCACGTCAGTTATTCTTTCAATGCGTTGTGCTGCACCATCACAAAAATAAAAAGACATTCAAGCAAATAGAGCATGGATATGATACCAGATACAAAGCAAAAAATACTGTTATACCAAAAGCTGAGAAAACCATAACGCAAAGATGCTATATTTATCTTAGTACTATCCTGTATGCTGAACTTCCTCTTGAAATAACTCAGTTGCACAGTCTCAGCTTGTTCAAAAAAAAATCAAAGCATTGCTTCAAAGCAAATCCAGAATGGAAATTCATAAGTTGATTGACAGAAAGAATACTTATTATTTTTGATTATTTTTGAATACTTCATCTTGTGGTTCTGAAAGGACAAAACAAAATTTCAAAGACAAAAAAAAAATAAATTGTAATTTTCATTCAATTTTGGAAAAAAAGAAAAAAGAAAATAGAAATAAAACCCTCATGGAATCCATCATCTCATATAGTAATTTTCTTCATTCCATTTTTATATGATTATGTATTAGAATTAACTTTAATGGTTTAATGGTAATTGTGTTTGTTTCATCCACGCACAGGGATTCATCCCTTTGTGGATTACTCGTATACTTACCGCAATTTCTGCCCACATTTATATACCTATGAAGATATGTATGTGAATATATGTGTGTACACAATTTAATTTAACGAATTAAGGTAATATATATTATTATTATTATTATATTATTATTATTATATCATCAAAACAAACCGCTCAGAAGTGTTCAAGTGTTGCCGTCAGATAGGGCGACGTGTTATGTTCTATGGTGAATTTCAAAAATCTGACTACTATGATAACGATGATTCCTCACTGCAACCATGATATATTTCAATCGTTCTTGAGAGTTGAAGAGGGTTTCACAATGATTAATCAAATAAACGGGTCGTGCAATAAATGTTGTATGTATTTCGGGCGTAACTTGCTGTTATGGATCTTGACGTGTTACACGCTACGGCCCATAAAAGCATATTTTTCGCCCTTGATACATAAATAATTATTATTCATGTTTTTTAAATGTATTGATAGATATATCTACCTGTAATCACCACTGAACAAAATCTCAAAGGCACATGAGACACTGTTCACCATTTTTGCCCGATTATTTTCCAGGTGTTCCAGCGATTGGGCCTCGAGCACCTCGAATCCCACTCCGCCGTAGCCAAAGAGCTACAGAAACTCCTCAAAATCCCCCTGGACAACTATAACAACCTCTTGATGGTACTCAAACTCAAACACTACGCCGGCCTGATGCAACATCTAGACTATCACGGCCGCAAATCTCTGAGCATCTACATCTTGAACAACGCCCTCGAGAACGAGACCGTCGTGCCTACGGCAGAGGAGGCCGAGCAGGCCCTCACTCTGCTGAGCACGCTGTTCTCGGATAAGAACGAGCAATCGGTGGCGGAGGTGGATATGGAAGAGCTGGCGGAGGAGCAGTGCTTGCTGGCCAGGTTCATCCACCAGTTGAGATCGGAGATTACCGATGATCAGTATCTCATACTGACTACAGCAAGACAGGTTAGTGAATTTTCGGTTTGTATTGGGTTGTCTTCAAATTATTTCGTAATCCCAGCCGGCGGCCGATAACTGTTCGATAACAACACGATGTTAGGAATTTCCTGTAGAATTACGAGGTTCCTGATTTGTTCTTTCCCGAAATAAAAATGTAATCTTTCAGCGGGATTACGAAGACACACACGGCCGATACGCAAATAACGCATTTGGTTACAAAATACGAAAACGTAACAAAATTTTCGTTAAAAATCTCAAAACATCTTCAATAAACTAAACTCACCTTGACTCGCCTATCTTTTATATCCTACTTCCCCAACCTGAAGGATCAAGATACCCGTGGAAAGGTAGAATACACCTTCATTTTCGGAAAACGGGGACAATATTAATATTAAAATACGATGCACTGGATTAACTTGAAGGATTGGTCACAAAAACTACCTATCAAATCAATTAATCATCAAATCAATAAATGCAAAAATTCTAACATTTCAATTAATGATCAACTATCTCAATAATTCACCACCGTTGGATTGTTTTCTTATTTAGGTAATATTTGTAATCAACACTTCAACCTAATCTAGTACATCGTATTTTAATGTAAATATCGTGCCCGCTTTCCAAAAATGAAGGGTTATCGTATAGGTATCTTAATCTTTTAGGGAAAGTTGGAGTCGATGTAAGTTTAGTTTATTGTATCAGTATTTCACCTGAAGAAGCTACTGTGTTAGCGAAGAATGTCATGTAATTAAAAATTATGTGGAAATCTTATCGTTTGTGAAGTTTTCACATTCACTATGGATTTCCATCAAGTAACGGCCGAGTTAATTCAAAATTTTAAATATCATTTGAGAAAATATCGAATCTGAATTGATGAGTCTATGTTTAAAATAATATTCAAAGTTCTTCAATAAAATCAAATTGACTGTTCAATATTGCTAGTTAACATACATTTAATAGATGTGATAGGCTTAGGCTATTTGAAATTTGATATTTATAGTGTTATTTAATTACATAATCATAATCATGTTGAGATTATTCGTAACCATCTCTTGTTAAATTATCGCGGATACATTCTGTTTTGTTGCAGATCTTGAATACAGGAGGTCCGCTCAGAATAAAATACGTACTTCCCCCACTCATCTTCCAAGCCTACCAACTAGCTTACAAATTTCGCGACCAAAAAGACGACAAATGGGAGAAAAAGTGCACGAAAATCTTCCAGTTCTGCCATCAGACCATCACAGCCCTGGTCAAAGCAGAACTGGCCGATCTACCACTACGCCTGTTCCTCCAAGGCGCCCTCGCCATCGACCAAATCAGGTTCGAGAACCACGAAACAGTGGCCTACGAGTTCATGTCCCAGGCCTTCTCCCTCTACGAGGACGAGATCTCCGACTCGAAGGCCCAGCTGGCCGCCATAACTCTCATCGTGGGCACTCTGGAGCAGATCAGCTGCTTCTCCGAGGAAAACTCCGATCCTCTGCGCTCCCAGTGCGCTCTGGCAGCCAGCAAACTCCTCAAGAAGCCCGACCAGTGCCGGGGAGTCGCCACCTGCTCGCACCTCTTTTGGAGCGGCAGGAGTTTGGCGAAGAACGGCGAGGAGAACCGGGACGGGAAACGCGTGGTGGAGTGCCTGAAGAAGGGTATTCGTACTGCGAAACAGTGCATGGACGTCAGCGTGCAGATACAGCTGTTTGTCGAGCTGCTCAACCACTACGTTTACTTCTTCGAGAAGGGGAACGAGCAGATCGATGCTGACATTCTCAATCAGTTGGTCAAGAAGATTAAGATAGAACTGGCGAATTTGGAGTGCTCGGACGAGTCTGAGCAGATAACTAAGCATTTCAACAACACCATGGCACATTTGAAGTTGAGGATGGAGTCTCCTGACGACAAAGACGTTTATAGGGGAGTCAATTTGAATCCGGATTTGGCGGAAGATGATAACAGTAGTAAGAAAGTTGAGGCCAAGTAGTGGAGTATCGAATGCATTTTATTGAATTTATCTTTAAGAGTAAACTGTTAGATTTATAGTTGAAAGTGTATTGAAAGACTTAATGTTATTGTTCTATTTTATTTTCTAGTTGAATATATACATACTTATATCATGATAGTATATTTTATTTCCATTGCATATTTAACGCCTCCAGTTCCTTCTAGACATTTCCTTCTAAAGTGTGGAAAATGAAGAAATTGAAGATGGTTAGCATTTATAGTTGAAAGTGTTGTGTAAGTGTTGATTATCTAGTTGAATATATACATACTTATATCATGATAGTATATTTTATTTCCATTGCATAATCTAACGCCTCTAGTTCCTTCTAGAGGAATAAGTGTAAGTGCAAGTGTAAGGGTGGAAAGAGAAGAAATTGAAGATGGAGTCTCTCGATGACAGAGACATGTATAGGGGAGGGGTCAATTTGAATCCGGATTTTGCGTAAGAAAATAGTGAAAAAGTTGGGGTGAAGTAGTAGTGAAGTGAGTTTTTGTAGAATGAACTCTCATAGTGGGCACTCTGTAGCAGAGCAGCTGTCTCTCCGAGGAGAACTCCGATCCTCTGCGCTTCCAGTGCGCTCTGGCAGCCAGCAAACTCCTCAAGAAGCCCGACCAGTTCCGAGGGACGCCACTTGTTCGCACCTATTTTGAAGCGAGAAGAGTTTGGCGAAGAACGGAGAGGAGAACAGGGACGGGAAACGCAGCAGATACAGCTGTTTGTCGAGCTGCTCAACCACTACGTCTACTTCTCTGAGAAGGGGAACGAGCAAATCGATGCTGACATTCTCAATCAGTTGGTCAAGAAGATTAAGATAGAGTTGGCGAATTTGGAGTGCTCGGACGAGTCTGAGCAGATAACTAAGCATTTCAATAACACCATGGCTCATTTGAAGTTGAGGATGGAGTCTCCTGACGACAGAGACGTTTATAGGGGAGTCAATTTGAATCCGGATTTGGCGGAAGATGATAACAGTAGTAAGAAAGTTGAGGCCAAGTAGTGGAGTATCGAATGCATTTTATTGAATTTATCTTTAAGAGTAAACTGTTAGATTTATAGTTGAAAGTGTATTGAAAGACTTAATGTTATTGTTCTATTTTATTTTCTAGTTGAATATATACATACTTATATCATGATAGTATATTTTATTTCCATTGCATATTTAACGCCTCTAGTTCCTTCTAGAATCTAGAGTGTGTGGAAAATGAAGAGATTGAAGATGGAAGAAGACATGTATAAGGGAGGGGTCAATTTGAATCCGGATTTGGCGAAAGAAAATAGTGAAAATGCTGAGGTCAAGTAGTTGTGAAGTGAATTTTTGTAGAATGAACTCTGATCGTTACAGACAGACTTGATATTTCATTTACATTGTATACTTTCGTTTAATGTTTCCACGAAAAATGATGATAATTTATAATTGATGGAATTTGTCACTCTGTGTCTGAATAAAAGTGAGTAAACATTTTTGGATTTAATCTATTATATTGGTCCTTCGAGTACAAAATTGACCGCTATGGAGCAGGATAGTCCTAACGACAATGAAGCAGGATCTGGAGAGGCCCGAAGAAGTAGCCGAATTAATAAGGGTATTCTTATGAAGAAATTTCCAGCAGTAGACAAATAAAGCCAATCTCAGTTTAATATGTCTGGCGTAGCAGTTCATACGAGAGATGCGACAAAATAGTGTCATAAATCTTGTATAATAATATACTATTTTCACTTGTCCATTACTGCTTTATAATACTTTAGGTGAATGTTATATACACTTGGTACATAAATAACTATTATTTGCATTTTATATCTATAACGCTTCTAGTTTCTCCTGGATATATGACTGTAGTGAGTGTGGAAAACGAAATTGGAGATGGGTTTTCTCGTGATAACAGATACATGTATGGGGTGGGGATCAATTTGAATCCGGATTTGGCTGAGAAAATAGTACTGATAACGTTGGGGTCAAGTAGTTGTGAAGTGAATTTTTGGAGAATGTGGAGTGTTGTTTTTGGTGTCGTTCCACTCTAATTTTATATTTCTGAACCACCCTGTAATCAGAATTATGAGTGCTGTCACTTGATTTTGACTTTTATTTGACTTCGGTAGGCACTTCACCACTAATCATGTGTCATTTGTGATGAGGCAAAATTCATAAGATGTACGATACTGCTTATAAAGCAATCAATTTTATTTTGGCAGTCTTGTTAAATTATTGTCTCCACTTTTTCACCTACATGATATTTTGTAACGATTCGGAAAAACCCTGCATATTATTTCCCTAGTACCAGGAAGAAATCTCAGAGAAAATGAATAAGCAGAACACCAATGACATCAAAGAAATCGATTCCTACATCGAAATTCTGGAAAACCAATTATTCTTTGCAGTGTTGAAAGGAAAAGCTAGCGTTAAACTGAGGAATACCTTCAATACCTTTTTCTTTTCGATCGATGACGAGTTGATATATGAGAATTATTTCAGTGATTTCGGACCTTTGAATATGTCCTGCGTATATAAATACTGTTTGAAGCTCAGAAAATACTTGCAATATGCAAAGGGCATTAAAAGTGTGGTACATTACACTTGCGATCATCCAAATAAAAAAGCTAATGCTGCTTGTTTGATGGGATTATTCAGTGTCATATATTTGAACATTCAACCTAGAGATATATGGAAAGTCCTTCAAGAACTTGGTCCATACAAGTAAGTGCAAGTATGACTATACCTATTTTATGTATTGTTTTCCTGTGATTTCTTTCAGACCTTTTGTGGATGCCTCCCAATGCCCCATTGGCTTTACATTGAAGATTGTAGACTGCTTACAAGCAATGTACAAAGCCCTAACTTTCAATTTTATCGATTTCGATGATTTCAACATCAACGAATACGACTTGTACGATAAACTGCAATATGGAGATCTGAACTGGTTGGTCCCTAGAAAATTTTTGGCATTTCTTGGACCTGCCGATAACAAAAGCGCTCATCCTCCAGAGTTCTATTTGAAATATTTTCTGAAAAATGATGTCAAGACTGTGATCAGACTCAATTCGATCATATACGACTCTTCTGTGTTAGTATCAATTAATTATTAATATGGGCCCATTATTAGGAACTTGCAAGAAAATTATGGAGTGTTCTTGATATTATATAGCATATTCATCTTTTCTGTTAATTTTCAAATATTCAACAAAATTCTTTGATAGTGGTATGGTAGTTGTCCGACTTACCAAAGAAGTTCTTCAAGTTTGGCGGAGAATATAAGAAGCCAGAGTACATACAAGTTGCGATGCGCTTTCCAAAAATGGTTGGCTCCAGTTGGCTTGCATGGCAACCAAAGATAGATCAGTGGTGTTTTGGTATTGCAACAAAAACTAAATCACATCAACATTTTATCAGAACTCCCAAGTGTAGTAGTATATTATAGTGGTGACATTACAAGTGATGTCTCTTTCATTTCGTTACTAAGAGGACATCAAAGGAACTCCCCTTATTAATCAGATCATTTCATATCTATCAGAAATAACGTTGTGCATATTTATCTGCACACTCCTATAATTCATACTAGTCTGCCAGTGTTCAACATCATACTATTCCTAACTTACTTTCTCGAACTTCTTTGGCAAGTTGGAGATAACTACATTTTCCAAATTTTTTTGAATTAATTAATTTATGATACTTAAGTATACCGATCGAGGTACCTTTATGCTAAAGCCAAATTGTATTCTCTTAACGTTTACCCTTGTTCATGGAATACCTACCTATTATTTTATAGATTCAACCAAGTGGGAATCCAGCATTTTGATTTGATATTTCCTGACGGCACCACGCCACCAAAAGATATTCTTCTGAAATTCTTGACTATAGCTGAAATGGCGCCAGCTGCTATAGCTGTACATTGCAAGGTAAGTAATTTTACATATTGAATTCATTAAATATAAGAAAAGCGGTATGGAAGTAATTTCAATTTTTTTTCCTCTCACAAAACTAAAATGACATTGTATCTAGGTACCACGCGAACACGAATTGATGATCTGTAATTCATTCAAAAAATTGAACACGTTACCATGGCAACACAATATCTTAAGCACATTTACCATGGCAACACATGCTAAGCATGACAATGAACGTAAAAAATACATTATTTATGTGAGAAAAAATTATGCAAAGTTATTTGCATTCCCGAGAAATCGACAGCTTTGACACCTCAGCATATCGATGTGTTTTTATCTACTAGATAAAATCTTATTTACAAAGGTTAGTAAACAAGCGTATGGACTGGACACATCTGCAACCAATATATTTATCGTTGATTATGTTCTGAATTCCTATTCCCTACCAATTATTTTGCAGGCCAACAGGTAGGTTAATCTAATTTTTGGAATTATGGGATCTTGTGGAAGAGAGGAATTACGAGTTCGTAGAAAAAGTATACTATGTAACTCGTTTATAAACTCTACTAGACACTCGTTCATTACTCGTTACTAAAAGGACGTTTATAAAACTTGTTTCATAATATATATACTATTATCATGAAACCAATTCTGACTGGTTCTCTCTATCTATATAATAAGCTGTTGCTGAAATAATAATATTTAATTCATCAACTTATGGCAGCTTTATCTATTTTTGTTCTTACTCAGGCTGGTTTGGGAAGAACTGGTTCTTTGATAGGGGCCTATTTGGTGAAACATTACCGCTTGACGGCCAAAGAAGCTATAGCATGGATGAGATTGTGCCGACCAGGCTCTGTTATTGGACAGCAACAAATCTGGTTAGAAAAAATTGAAACTTGGTTATGGAGAATCGGAAGTCAATACAGGTAATTTTGTTTAATTTATTCTTGAATTATTGTTTGTGTTCTTAGGAGAGGGCACCGTCATAAATTACTAACTAGACCGCTAATGCCATAAGATATCATGTGATGGAGCGTGCACAATAGAAACGTGTCATATATCTTACTCACTCTTATGTTCCAAACGCCAAGGTCGAGGTCATGAACGACAGTTAGAGACTTCCTGCGCATTGAGTAGAAGCGTTTTCAGGCGAGCATTTTGGGTTAGTGGGATATGACATATACCTAGTGGTGTAGGCAGTTTTTAACTTTTTTGTTGGAGGTGAAATCTTTTTGTGTCTTGAATAGGAAATGCATCCGCGTGTGGCACTCCCATACGGGGTCTACCCACTGAAACACCTCCAATCTCCAAAAATGATCCTCGCAATGAGACATTAGAGTCAGACCACGATATCTTCGGGACAGCTAGGGTTGCCAGATATGTTGGGGAAAAACCGGTGATTAACATTCCGAAAAAGCGACTACAAAAAAAGATCATGATTTATTTATTTTTCACTTTTTAATATACTTCGCATTGGATGCCGCTGCTTTCAACAAATGGTAATTTTATTGCCTGATATCGAATCTTCAACTCGGTGCAAGCGGCACTTACCTATCTTGAAGTATACGCCAAGTCGACTTTTGACAGTATCTACAAACAGACGACTACATTCGTCTGTCCAAACATTTCCCATCACCCTGAATATTCTCTCTACAAGACCATTGGATATGGGAATAACTACATATACATATTCGATTATTTTTAAGAAATTTGGTGCTGCCTTATTCTTGAAAAATGTGCACCACATACCTTTCCAGTGTTATCAAGTGGAGGAAAAACAGTATGTGTAGTCTAACCAGTTTTTCGCACAGATTTTCGGATGGAGGTTGCTGTTGGGGAGATGAATCATACCTCGATCAATCAATTATTTGATCCAGCATAGGCCATTTTTCTGATTCGAGATACGAACAACTACAAATTTCTAGAGGGTTGCCACTTCCTTATCGCGGGTCGCTTCCTCCCCTGCACATTGAGTACGATAGTACACCATGCAGTGTTGAAAGTATGAGCAAATGACAATTTTTCACAAATTACTTGAAAATTCATCAATATTCTTCATACTACCACAGTTACTACGACTAGTGGCGTAGGTGACCGTGCGTTTGAATCTCACGTCGGCGACCCGGGTTCAATGCCTGCGGCGGTCGGCTTTTTTTAATTCTGTTTTCTCAAGTTATGTTTCGAAATATATGTATAATTTATAGGAAGAAGGTTTATTTACGCCGATTAATGATCTGTTCATAGAATCTCATTCATATTTAATTTAATTCAACAGCTCTATTTCCCATAAGGAATTTACTAAATTGAATATAAGTTAAAATGAGATTCTATGATCGCATCTTAGTGAAAGGAATGCTGGAACTGTGACCATAAGGTTAGATGGTTTAAAAAAGTTATGCCCTTTTTTATACAGGAGGAATATTTTCTTTCCTCCCTAAAAAAAGTACTGTCTTTTTAGGAAGAAGGTTCATTTAGGCCGAGTAAGGTTAGATGGGTTGAAAAAGTAGTGTCCTTTTTTATGCAGGAGGGGTAATTTCCTTCCCCCCTGAAAAAAGTACTGTGATGGAGGCATTTACTCTGTTGAAATAAAGTTTTGACAACATTACTTTCTAGAGCAAAGGTTTCTTTTTGAAAAATAGTCTCTTCACTCCCATGTGAATTCATGAAAATGCTATTTTCTTCTTTTTGGGTTATCCTATCAATTCAAGATCAGTGAAGTACTTTCTTTCTCAAGTTAAAGAAAATCAGTTCAATCCGGCAACATTGATGTGACTGACACGGGATTTCGCGAAGTCCCCACCTTATCCCCACCACTATTCCATTTAATGACGCAGACGCACGTTACGCGACCACCTGCTGTCACTGCTGTCAGTGCTGTCCTAAAGTTATCGTGATCGAACTCTACTTCACATAATCTTCTGCACTTCGTACTAACCTTCCCTTGTATTCTGCCACCTGTTTCCCATGTGTGTTAATTTGTTTTTAATATTTTTTTCTATGAATGTTCACCCTTCAGCATAAATTCTGTCAGGGTATCTGGTGTCAGAATTCCTACTTCCACTTTCATTCTTTTTCTGATATTTTGCCATATTTCTCGCAGGCAAACGTTAGTGGGAGAAAGTTACGGATTAGGGTTATTTCGGACTTGATGATGACACATTTTTCCTCAATGCATTAAAACACACAGACGCAGATTATTTTGAAGGAAAATGAATGAATATTTGGTAAATTTCCTAGGGTCCGAAAATATGGTGCAGGAGACAAAATACCAAAACATAAATATGGGATCTATAGCAAACAATGGCCAATCGAAAGAGAGAAAATTATCTTGGAGGCCAGAAAGCGAATCCAATCGACTTTTACGAAATCTCAATTAGATAAATTGGCCAGACAGAAAAAAATATCAGCCAGTGTGGATGCCATTTCTAGAGATATTAAACAGCAGAGGATCTCGAAAAATCCCAGTGCAGCGATTTCATATAAAAGTGTGTCAAAGCTGATTAATTCTGCACATGGTTCCGTCAAGAGCCAAGCTCCCATCAATATGAGTACCATTTTACCTCCACCAATGAGGATGAATTTAGAGTCTCAATTGATGAGCTCCAAACCAGAATTTGTAACACATGAAGCTGTGAAGTCTTTGGACAGCACTGGATCTCCACATTCCAATATAAAAGCTTCTTCGAATAAAATTCTCAGAAAATTTACTCCAGAAAAACGAAATAAGAATTTAACGACCCAAGGCGATAAACTAAATGAAATCAAGGCTTCCTGGAGACACAATAAAGTACTGAATAACAATTTAGAAAGTACTTTGTTAGAAGATGTGAGATGTAATAAGAACTATCGACTTTCCACATGAATTATTTTGCTCTTTAAACGAACTTCACTTGAAAATACTGATACCTCTATTCCAATAAAACTCATCTGATTCATTCATCTCGCTTCTGTTTTGTTTGCTATTTTGTTGAAATCGTTAATGTAAAAGTGATGAATCTTTGACTTTTGTAAATGTTATTTTGTGGGGAAATAAAACTATATTAAATTTTGTGAATTTGTTACAATATGAGATATGAAGTTTAGATGCAATGAAAAAAGGTGATACTTTATTCATATTGACTTTATTTAAACATTTATATATTCAATTACATTTACAAAAATGAATTTAATGAAAGAACATTCCGCACTAAATTGTTCTCCATCAAGTATAACAGAATAAAATTCAAGCCAATTTTGATCGACATTGCACAAGTATTAAAAGTAACAATCAGACATATGACATATCTAATGGTAGGTAAATTCTTAAAATTTTACATAGTATTCTAAAATAGTTATTGTCTTTACACAACAGTGATGTTAGTAAATTTCAAACGCATCCATAAAAATCAAATTGCAATTTTCTATTCTACAATATTGCCACAATAGCAGCCACTAATGAATTTTCGAAGGAAGCAACTAAGTTTTCAGGTGGTATCAAATCAAATTATTGACCATAAGTAGGAAGAAGTGGAAGAACAAGAGAAACGTATTTACACTGAATGGAGTAGATTGATCAAAATGTTCAACAATGATATGCTTATTCTAGATTCTATCAGATAATTCTTATGACAATGTTATGTTTTTAGACGAACTAACACAGATATGTATGTACAATGTACAAAGTTCGGAAGACTTGTGATTTTGTCATCTCAATTTTATCATAGATTACAGCATTAACAGATATAAATTGTACATTATTTTAGAATTTAGCAGGTTGGTGATGTTATGTACTGGGTGAGTAATGTTTTGTTTCAATTATTGGTGGATGGCTACAGATAGGTACAAGCATATACAATTGGTCTCGATTCTTACAGATAAACAAAGTGAAATACTAATAGGAAATATTCGATTACAAAACCAGGTGGTCTAAATTTCAATTTACGAAGGTTTTTATTGAAAATCATTGGGTATATTTTGAGAACATTTCAAAACATCACTCACTCTACATACCTATAGTACTACAGTTCAATCAGTAAAATATTGATGGAATCTGAGAAATCTGTGATACGAGCTGTCATACCTATATGCATAATGACGAATATGTGAGAATTCTCATTTCATCAATATTTCTGATACTTCTGAAGCAGCGAGTTTTTTATATAGCGTTCCATTCATTAAATTATTCGTAATTCATATATTTATAATAATTCTCAAGGATTTCGAGGAGAAGGTTGCTTTCAATCTATACAGGGTGTCCGTGAAAGGTCATGTCGTAAATGATAGGGCTGATAGGGTGAGAAAAATAATGTTAGTACCTACTTCATATTCAAAAATAATGTCTATCGTATTTCGTTACGGAGTTATTGACCTTGAAAGTCTCTGCAAGTCCATACATAAGACATGCTCATCATTACTTAACTCATCCATGGTGTTACCAAAGTATTAAATACTGTCAAAATAATTTAATGCCAACTTTAACAACTATATACCATGATGTTATTGAATAAATAAAGTTTTTATCAACTCTGAAAAGGTGGGGTTGTTTTTATAATGCGAGTATCTCTACGGTAAAAGATATGGATTAAAATAAAGTTTACATTTTTGTGGAAAAATGATGAAGGAATTGAACGATGGAAGCAAAATGCCAAATTTGTCACCTCTGTCAAAAATGCCTCCATTATACGTATCATCCTGTATAAAACAATAACTTAACAGCCGTTTATATATCGAAAGGAGCAATAGTATATGAGTTAATTGAGTAGCATATGCAACGAAGTGGGATATATTTTTTTTTATAATTTTTATTTTGGCTCACTGAATCAGCCCTATCGTTTTTACGACATGACTTTTCCCGACACCCCGCATAGAGTTGACTGATATGTTTTTTGTTTTATAGATATTCTGTGATTCATCTACAATAGGTATTCGTGATATTGGAAACATCGACTTGTAGGTACGATCGTTTTTTGTTGATGATGAATTCAATTTTAATCGATCTGATCCGAATCTAACAAATGTTTTCATTAAAAAAATTTCAAACTAATATGAGTGCTACACCATTTGAACAGAAATAAGAGTTTTATATCGATGGATGAGAAAATAGATTTCGAAATGTTTTTAGGTTTGAAGGTATACATACTTTTTAGGTAATCTCTGAGACGATGATAACAATAATTTAGTTCAATCAAAATAAATATCTGACTCACTATATACAGGGTGTTTCATAGGTAAAGGGAAATATTTCAATGGTAGATAGGGGTCACCAAGGTGGTTCTGAAAATACCATATTTGATAGGTCTTAGAGTCTTCATAACGGAGATACAGGGCGATTTATCGATTTCGAATAAATATTCATTCGTCTATAAGTATTGAAGTTCCCAGTATATTTTTCTAAAATTTGGTATGGGGCTTATACTTGGGACGTTGAATTCATTCACCTATCGGGTGAAGTGAAAATCCAGGTTCGGCTTCAGGAAAAATTTACATTTATTCGAAATATTAAAATAACACACTGTATGTAATAATTGACAGAGTTCATCGAAGGAATCGTGAAGAGGAGGAAAAACTGAACTGGATTTGATGCTTTTTGTTTTCCCGCCAGCAATGCTCATCGTAACAATCATAAACAGAAAGCTAAAAGTATGTCAATTTGAAGAGTATTGAAATTATGAAACCACTTTCAATTATGATTATTTGATATATTCTTGTTGAATGATCGTTCGAAAGAACTTACTCAGTCTCACAGTCTTTATAACAGATATACAGGGTGAATTGTCGGTTTCGAATCATTATTCACTCGTCCCTATAAGTATTAGACTACCCATCGCAGTAATATTTTCTCAAATTTGGTATTGAGCTTACTTTGGACGATGGATTCATTGACCTATCAGGCAGAATGGCAATACAGGTTTAGTTTCAGGAAAAGTCTCATAGTCTTCATAACAGAGATACAGGGTGAATTATCGAATTATAATTATTTGGTATTATTTTCATTCCGCCTGATAGGTTAATGAATCCATCGTCCCAAGTAAGCTACATACCTACCAAATTTGAGAAAATGATACTGGGTAGTTTAATACTTATGAAGACTGTGAGAGTGAGTTCTTTCGAGCGATTTTTTGACTGAAGTATCAAATAATCATAATTGAAACAGGTTTCATAATTTCAATACCCTTCAAATTGAAATACTTTCAACTTCCTGTTTATGATTGTTACGATGAGAATTGGTGGCGGGAAAACAAAAAGCATCATACACAATTCAGTTTTTCCTCCTCTTCACGATTCTTTTGATGTACTGTGTTAATTATTGAATACAGTGTGTTATTTTAATATTTCGAATAAATGTAAATTTTTCCTGAAGCCGAACCTGGATTTCCACTCCGCCCGATAGGTGAATAAATTTAACGTCCCAAGTATAAGCTCCTTACCAAAATTGAGAAAAATATACTGGGTAGGTCAATACATATAGACGAATTAATATTTATTCGAAATCGATAAATCGCCCTGTAACTTCGTTATGAAGACTGTAAGACCTATCAAATATGGTATTTTCAGAACCAACTTGGTGACCCCTATGTACCATTGAAATATTTCCCTTTACCTATGAAACACCCTATATAAATATTTTAAATGCATTAGCCTTCAAGCAATTTCACGTGTATATTAGTTTGGTCATTCATAACGTGAGATTCAAAAGGTAAAACATGTTTTCATACATTACACATTATGCGGGATATTTATTTTCTAATTGTGGCAGGTTGAAATACACATTCAGACACTACGAGTGAGTATACTCATTACGTAAAGTTACTTGAAACTGAATAATAATCACATTACGAATCAATAATACATAGTTCCTCCCATAACTGGTTGGAGTAGATACTCAAAAAAATAAGTACCTACGCACGTTTAGATTTCATGATATCAAACCAATTCAAAATCTTGAGAATGTCATCCAGTAAATATATTGAAAATAAAGCAACCATCAGTCTCAGGATCTTTGCGGAATTGTGATTCAAAGAAAATAATGCCAGTGTGGCATATAAGTATTTTATACTTTCTTTGATAGTAACTCTATATTTGGACACGTTTTTCAGATTGTATTGTATAGTACCTGAAAGTACCTACATTATACCGATGAAATTTTCTCTAACAAAGAAAACCTGTTGTGCTGCAAAAAGTACATATGTATTACTTAGACAATACTTCTTCTTTGTGACCCAAATACGAAGTGAAACATAATTAAAACAGCTACACTTCGATATATTCAGCTCAAAAAATAAATCTGATATTTTGTGAAACTTTAAAAGACAGATCCTTTTGCAAAATACACAAAATGACTAGCAACCTGACTAGATAACCCGTTTATTCGTCCCACAACGAAAACATAACATAGTGTGCTACGACCCATATTTGTAGACGTTACTGCGAGTAAAACTGTGATCGACTCGCAATGACGTATACACACCATATCATATTTCCATTATGATTCGCCAGTATGGGTACTCATTTCATTCATTATCGTTGGTGATCTTCATCATCGGGAGAATATCACAGTTGCATGCAATGCCTCCTTCGCCTTTCTGGCATTGCTGCACACACCAGGTGTTCATGTCTGTTCTGGTTCGCGCCTTGCTCTCCAGCATTTGTACTGAGAAGTCGCTGTACAAGGAGAGGGTATCGTTGTACACCGAACACTTCTGGCAGCCGAACAGTCTGTAGTTATACTTGATGCAGAACATGCTGCACACTGGAACAGAAAGAAGCAATCAGGACTTCATTCTTCGGGTCGATCTATCGAAATTTCACATTAGCTATATCAATATAATGACTAGGAAAGAGATTATTGAACATAACCGTATACACGTGTTTGGGGCTTTCGGCCCTCATCAGTGCGGTGAAAGGAAGTGCAAAGGATGGGAAGTACTTGGTAGGAAACGAAACAACAAGTGCTGCCCATCCTTTGCACTTCCTTTCACCGTACCATAGATTAACGACTATCTTTTAAACGAAAGTGTTCTAGAAATCTATTTTATATACAGGTACGCACAAAAAAGTTATGACTTTTCAA